AAACGAAGTCTTAGTGGGTCCAGATGTTGACCTTAGCCGATAAAAGCTTCCATGTAACTTTTAAAAATAATTTCAAGGAATTGAAATACACTGTATTCAAAGAACACCACCCATCTGGCAGTTTGTGGCACAGTGGTGCTTTGCAAATTGTTGAAAGTAATGCCACCAGTATTTGAAATGCCAGCAGGTTGGCAGAGTCTCCAGGCTAAGACAGAATAGGAGGGAATGCCTGGTGCTCTACTCCCATAATTGGTCAATAAAAATCTTATGCATCATAACAAAATATTATCTGATATAATGCTGGCAGCTGATCCTCCTAGGTTGGAAATCATTCAAAATGCAACGGAGCCTCAACAATGGATTTGTGTAATTTTGAAGGGAAGATGGTAGGGCAGAGTAGTGTCTTGCATCATGTATGGGGCTGCTATGATTTGCAGTGCATTCAAAGACAACTTGAAATGACAATGTTCAAAGGATGAATGGGCATGCAGTGGCAATGATAGTACAGATACAATACTGCAATACATAACTTAAGGCTGTAAAAGTGGAATTTCTAAAGTGCAAAAATATAATGGAAATGAATAATAATTAAGGAAGCCTAAAGAACTGATGCATTTGAATTATTGTGTTGATGAAGAATATTGAATATAGCAGAATCAACCAGATAATTGAATACACCTGTATTTGAAGAAGCCCAGATGGGATCAAAAGCATATGAATGAGCTTGAAGATAACAGGAAATTCATACATCGTAAAGAAATAGAAAAATAACTGAGGACAATTGAACCATCTCAAAAAAACTATAAAAGAGCACCACATATTTACATATAAATTTGAGGGGAGGCTCAGAAAATAAAGGAAAAAGTAAAGGGGCAAAAAACAGAAGAAACTATGAATGTGTACTAATGGAAATATGCCAGCAAAAGAGTCAATGTATTTTAGGTTGAGCTAAGAGTTGGTACAAGGACTGGCTGGTGAGAGACATGAGGGAATTTAGGACAATGGCATAAGTCTCCTAAAATCGGATCGAGAGGATAGCACATAATTGTATGTTGTTGTTAGATGTTGTTGGTTCTGACTCCGAGAGAACCTATATACACCAATACTGTGCTATCTTCGTGTTGTTACATTTAAGTCTATTGTTGCCGCCACGGTATCAGTGCATCTCTTTGACAGTTTTCCTCTTTTACTCTGACTATCTACTTGACCAAGACTTAGGCCCCTTTCCAGGGACTGGTCTCTGCTGATACCATATCCAGAGCTTTCACCTGCATATGGCAGGTTGCTAATACACATTCCTCCAATTGTGATGTCAGGCTCTTCATAAAACCCTTCTTCCTGGATTATTTGCTCATCAGACAGATTTAATAGCATGGTGAAAGGCTACAACCCCAAGACACACGCCTTTTCACATTTTCCAGGATGCAGTATTTCCTCGTTCACTTTGAAGAACTGCCTGCTGGTCCATGTACAGGTTCCACATGAGCACCATAAAGTGCTCTGAAATTTACATTTTCCTCAATGTTGTTGAAAGCTTGTTATGATCTATAGCATGCCTGTGCACAGTCGACAATGCACAAATGAGCATATTCCTCCTATTCTGTGCTTTCAGCCAAGGTCCATCTGAAGTCAGCAGTGACATCCCTTGGGCCACGTCCTCTTCTAAATTGGGTTTTAATTTCAGGCAGTTCTCTGTTAATGGACTGCTCTAGCTGTTTGTTTGTTTTGCATAATCTTCAACAGCATTTTACTTGCATGTGACATTGGTCGGTAACATTAACAAGGAGTTCTTCCATTGCTTTCTTTGGAGTGGAAACAAATGTAGAGTTGTCCAGGTAACGGTTTTACAAATGTCTTGACATAGGCCAGGAGTCATTCCAGTGTGTGACAGTTAGATTTTATGTCAACTTGAATTTGTATGAACAAGTAGGGTTGAAGTCCAGCCTATCAACCAGGTCACAGACTAAGGATGCCTCTTTTGGGGTGTGGCCTTTTCTCTAAGAAAAACAATATGGAACTTCTCCTTTTTCACTCTTGTCCTTTAACTTTATCCTTGCTGGGACTGTGTCTGCCTCCAGGGGTGGCTCCATGTGGGCTGCTAACTGAGCTGTCTGGGCCCTGGCATGCTTCCCCTGACCTTGGATCCACAGGACTCTGCAGCCACTTGCCTGTGATCTTCCGATATCCTGCTTCACCTTTCTCCATCATCACCTGGTGGCTACACAAGTCTTAAGGAGGCTCTGGCTAGCATTCGGACCCATAGACTTGAGTTCGATTGGGCTGGGATGTTTTCTTGATATTGTTACTTCTTGATATAAGGAGCCTTAGTGGCATAGTGGTTAAGTGTTGGGATGCAAACTACAAAGTCAACAGTTTGAAACCATCAGCCACTCCACAGGATAAAGAAAGGCTTCATACTTTCATGAAGAGTTAGTCTTGTCCCCCACAGGGGACAATTCTATTCTGTCCTTTAGGATAGAATATACCCTGTCCTGTAACCCTATAGGGTTACAATGAGTATCTACTTGAACTTCATTTTCATATGAAGTTCCTTCTTATACATATATGAGTATCACTGGTTTTGTTTTTCAAGGCAAACCAGCCTAATACACAGTGCTTTATCAGTTTATTGAAACATTTTGATTGGCTTTCTGTCAATTCCTTGAGGTGTGTTTTTCCATTAATGCCTTCAGTACAACTTGAACTTCTTTCTTCAATACCGTTGGTTCTTGATCATATGTTACCTCTTGGAATGGTTGAAAGTCAATTATTTTTGGTACAGTGCCTCTGTATTCCTTATATCTTCTTTTGAAGCTTCTTGCATCTTTCAATATTTTGTCCATGAATTCTTTATATATTGTAAAGCAAGCTTGAATTTTTTCTTAAATTCTTTCAGCTTGAGATGTATTGAGCATGCTTTTCTTTTCGGCATGTAATTCTACGTATTTTCACATTTCATTATACTATTTGGTCTTCTCAAGATACCCTTTGAAAATTTCTGTTTAGCTTTTGCTTACAACATTTCTTCCATTTGCTTTAACTTTATGTTCAAGAGCAAATTTCAGAGTCTCTTCAAACATCCAGTTTTTTTTTTCCTTTCCTTTTTTTCATATATTTTTAGTGACCTCTTGCCTTCTTCATATATGATGCTCTTAATGTCATCCCGCAACTCAACATGTCTTTGGTAATTGGTGTGGATTATGCTACGCATGTTCTTGAAATTTTCACTAAATTCAGATGGGATATACTCAAGGTTGTGCTCTGGCTCTTGTGGACTTGTTTGAGTTTTCTTCAAATTCAACTATCATTGTAATTTGAGTGTATGTTTTTTCAGTTTTAGACTGAAGATGTTGGTAGATTTCTTCAAATGCTTCATCACTATCTTTAGTGGTTGATGCAGAAATGTGAATAATAGCTGTATTAAGTAGATTTTTTTGGTGTGTTTACCGATATTCCCCTATGACAGAAAGCATGATACTTCAAGATAGATCTTGAAATGTTCTTTTTGATGATGACTGAAAGATTGTCCCTCTGGAGTTTATCATTCCTGGCAGGGTAAACCATATGGTTATCTGATTTTAATGACCAATGCCACCCGTTTCAGCTCACCAATACCTAGGGTGTCAATCTTTATGTGTTTAAATACACAAGTTTAATTTTTTATAATGTCTGATTTTCTTACACTCATACTTTGTACAGTCCATATTCAATTATCAGTGGCTGTTTGCAACTGTTTCTTCTCATTTTATGTAGGGTGCGATTAGCATATGAAGGTCCTGCAAGCTTTATTCCATCCAAGTCATTAGCAGAAACTTTGAGGAAGCAGCTCTTCTCCATGTGCATTTCGCTTGCCTTCTTGTCTGAAGGATCATTTTCTAGCACTATGTCTCCAAATGTTCTGCTGTTAGTCACAACGTTTTCAGTGGCTAATCCCTCAGAAATGGAGTGTCTATTTCTTCTTTCTGGGCTCTTCTAAGTCTGGAGCTCACCTGAGTCTGTTCAATGAGGGTGACCCTGCTTCCAGCCTCACAGCAATATCCAAGCCACCACAGCCTGGCAAACTGCCAGATGAGTGTGGACATAGTTACAAAAGTTTATTATAATTATTTATTTGTACTTTTAATATGATTAAACATTATGGTATATAAGTTGTCAAGCAATTGTTAAAAGCTGTTTTCTGTTTGTTTGTTTTTTCTTGCAAAATATATTTTCTTTCAAACAATGAGAAACCTTAAAAGAGTCTATGTTTGCAAAATAGTTAAAGTTGTTTTAAGCACCTAAATTTGGGAAGGACATGAACCAAGTTTTAAATAAAAAGTGTGCTCAGTGAACCAAAAGCAGTCCAGATTAGTTTGTAAGATTAGTACTGGACAGTCTTCGTGGATAAGATTTAAAAGCTAAATTTTAGTAAGACCATGGAGGAGAGTATAATTTTCTGCCAAGCAACTTGGGTTTTATAGGGATCTACAACTTAAAATAAGCAACGTTTGGGAGAAATTTAGTAGGAACAAGGTGCAGTGCTGAGCTCTTTAAATACGCCTTTTGAATTTAATCTTCAAGATTATCATTAGCTCCATTTTATAGGTGAGGCTGTGGAGTCTTACAAAGTCAAGAAACAAGGTCACATTGCATCACTGGCATGTTAAACAACTGTGGTCAGACTCAAAGTTCGAGCCACAGGTTTGTCTACCCTTAATATTCTACAACTGTACCATGCAATGATACAGTTATAAAATATATACCACTCCTTATAAAATATATACCACTTCTACAATTGTGATTCAAGAAAATAAAACTTGAGTAGCTGCAAATGTAGGTAAATCTTATAAAGAATAACATTTTTTTTTGGGGGGGGGTAGTGGAACCCAACTTTATAGACATGAAGAAATCAGGCCTTGGGGGTGGGATGGAAGACAGTCTTTTCAAAGAGCTGTGACATGACCATGCAATTGTCCCCCAAGGCAGGGATGTGAGAGAGTAGACTCAGCTACGAACAAAGCTGTGGTCTTGGGTGTATAGCTTTTAATGTCTTTAAAATGGGGCTGGGCATCAAGAGTCTTTTCCAGAATAGGCCAAGGAAGATAAGTCCAGGTTGGTTTTTAAAGCTTTGGAAAGCTCGGTGGCCAGCAGCTGGTGGAGGGATTCGCCGTCGTGGGAGTACACCCAGGTTTTCCCAGTCCAATCGTAGCGCTTGGGCCCACTGGAAGGGGAAGACAGCCAGATCTGCTTGTTGGGGGTCTGCTTGTTGATCACGTAGGTGCCGAGGTCTCCACCCAGTTTGATTGTTAAGACACCGCTCCCAAACGAGACGTCATAGTCCTCAAAGGTGTAGGGCTTGTCTGCAAGGTCTTCAAAAAACTCTGCTAAGGAGTCCAGCGTTTCCTCAGCCAGTCGCTCATAGGTGGTCTCATCCAAGAAGCTTGGATCACCCAAAGTTCCCACTTTTCTCAGATTCACCAACTGGACCTTTTGCTTTTGGGCATTCAGAATCTGGTTGAGGCAGTGGAGGCTCAAACTGGCTGGTCGGGGCTCGCAGCTCGCCGCCGTCCTGGCGCGCAGACCCGGATGGCCACCGGGCAAAGGCTCTTTCGCCGAGCAGGGACCCCCAGCGCGGGCCGGAAGCGGGCCCGGCGACGCCGCCCGGGGGAACAGGCCCGAGGCTGCGCGGCGCCCGATCGCCCACATCGCGCGCGCGGTCTGCGGCCTGCTCCGCGCTCAACATTTTTTAAAAAATAAGAAAAGAGCTAGAAAAGGGGAATTTATGTGCATATCAGTTTTTATTTTCTACATTCCCAATACTGTAGCACTGGAAAAGCTGAAGGATTCTGAGGCAAAATAACACAAAAAGTTGAATCCATTATACAAGGGAGAATATGCTAAGATGGATGTCAGGATAATTGTGGTTCAACATCTTATTTTATTCTGTGTCCTAGCACCAAATTCTCGTTAACCTGTAGAAATATGAGTATATTAAGGAAATCCACTCCGTTGATTTCTGACTCATAGTAACTGCCTAGGACCGAGTAGGACTGCTCCATAGTTTCCCAGGATGCATTCTTTTCAGAGGCAGGCGATCCTGTCATCTTCCTGTGCAATGGGTGGTAGTGTCAAAAAGCAAGCCTTTTGGTTAGCAGCCAAGTGCTTATAACACTGAACCACCAGGGCTCCTCTACAGACTCATTATGATGTTGTATCTCAAGACCAGAAAAATGCTTTTGTTTGGGTTTATTTCAACCTAAATTATATAAATACTTTTCTTTCTGGGATTCTTGAGGAATCATACAATCCAAAGACATCAAAACATTTAAGTAGAATTCCACAAACAACGTCAAATATATGATCACAGGACAACCAATGAATACCAATCACTTTTAGTAAAAAACAAGGAAGAGAGATTCTAAAAACTGTCTAGTGGACCATTAGGACTTCACCTTGTGAAGTCTCTGTTGCTCACGTGACCTGGTTGTCCAGTATTATGCGGCATACAACCTTCCCTTCTATGCCCTTGATGGTTGTCCACTAATCAAGAAATGGCAATAAACTACATGTGCAGTGTTCATTATTGCTATTGTATTATTTAAAATGCCATTGATTGACTATATTGTTTTTCTGATTATTATATTTTTGAGAACATAAGTAGTATTTATAAAAGGTCCCCTGAAACCTATTTCCTCAATAATTGGTTCAAGTGTTTCAACCACAAATTCTTTTGCCATGAAGAGTTTTGAGAGCATATAATCCTTGTGTTTGAGGTGGGAAGGCAAGTTTCCAAAATGAAATTTAGAAATCTGAACTATTTTCCAAGGGACTAATGTGAAAATACTCAAACTAGTAAAAGAAAATGTTGCATTAAAACTAGACATTGTAAACCAAGGAAATTCATTCTGAGCACTAACCCTGGACACTAGGACACATCTAACAGTGCCATCAGAATGGAAGTAGGTGCCATCCTTTTCATAAATGACAGAGACTGTTGTTCAAATTCACAAGTAACGTGGAGAAATGTAAAATAGAAGTCTGATATTTTTAATTCTAATCTTGAACCTGATATTCATGACATGTGGGAGATGACAAACATATCCAAGTGATTTATACTGTGATTTAAGGCTACTAAAATCCAATTATATTATGATTAATATGATAAATATGTTGCCATGAGTCAGAATCAGCTTTCTAGAAATAATAACACAGACCTTAAAGTTTCATTTGTTAATACTGATTTGTCAGTGTTTGTTGTTTACTGTGTTTTATTGATTGTGCAAAGCCATTCAACTGTGTGAATCATAACAAATTATGGATAGGCTTGAGAGGACGAAGAATTGTAGAACACTTCATTGTGCTTATGAGGAACCTGTGCATGGATCAAGAAGAGTTGTGTGAACAGAACAAGAGAATACTGCAAGGTTTAAAATCAGGAAAGGTGTTTGTCGGGGTATGTCAAGCAAATCATCAGAGAAGCTGGATTATATGGAGAAGAATGTGGCATCAGTATTAAAGGAAGCCTTATTAGCAACTTGTGAGATGTAGATGACACAACCTTACTTCCTGAAAAGGAGGAGGGCTTGAAGCACTTGCTAATGAAGAGCAAAGATTTCAACCTTCAGGATGGATTACAATTTAATGTAAAGAACAAATTCTTCACAATTGGACCCATAGGTAACATCATGATAATTTCAAAAAACCACTCACTGCTTTCAAATCAATTTTGACTCATAGTGCCCCCTAAGACAGATAGAACAGCCACTTGTGACTTTCTGTGACTATAACTCTAGTCTGGAGTAGAAAACCCAATCTTTCTCCCTCAGAGCATCTGGCAGTTTTGAACTGCTGACCTTGGGGTTAGCAGTGCAATGTGTAGCCATTATGCCAATCACAATATCATGATAAAAGGATGAAATATTGAAGTTGTGAAGGGTTTCCTCTGGCTTGGATCCACAATCAATGCTCATGGAAGCAGTCAGGAGATCAAACTATGCATTACCCTGTACATTTAGCTTCAAAGATAAGAATGACAGTGACGATGACACGGGATCCGGCAGTGTTTCTTTGTGATGTCCACAGGGTCATTATGAGTTGGAATGAAATTGACAGCACCTCACCACAACCCAAGCCGTGGTACCTGGCCCAAGTTACGGTACTTCCCATCGCTTCACAGGCACGTGAAAGTTGAACAGTGAATAAGGAAAACTGATACATTTGAATTATGATCCAGGCAAAGAATATTGAATGTACCATGGACTGACAAAAGAACAAACAAATGTGTCTTGAAATAAGTATAGGCAGAATGCCCCTTAGAGGCAAGGATGGGGAGACTTCATCTCAAGTTCTTTGGACACCTTGTCAGGAAAGACTAGTCCCTGGAGAAGGACATCAGGCTTGGTAAAAGAGCATGGGTCAGCGAAAAAGAGGAAGACCTTCCATAAGATGGATCGACACAGTGGCTCTATAAATGGGCACAAACACAAGCACCATTGTGAGGATGGCACAGGATCCTGCAGTATTTCACTCTGTTGTATATCTGTGAGTCAGAACCAACTCATGGCACTAACTACAGAGTTACACGCACTCTATTCACATAGTCCTACCCAATCAATTGGTGGGAATTACAGAGAATAGCGCAGAAGAATTATATTAAGAAATTTCACCCCACCACACCATGGATTCCAGAAGAAAGAACAAATCAGCCTTAGAAGAAGGACAACCATAAGGCTTCTTAGAAGAAAAGATAGTCAGACTTCGGTTCATTTACTTCTGACATGCTATCAAGGGGTACCTGATATCTAAAGAAGGACATCTTGCTTGATTAAATAGAAGGTCAGCAAAAAAAAAAAAAAAAAAGAGGATGCCCCTCAGCAAGCTAGATTAAGAGGGGATGCACTAGGGATCTCAGCCCAGGGACAATTGAGGACAGCAGTGCCAGGCAAGGCTTCATTCTGTTGTGAAAAAAAAGTTGCTATGAGTTGGAACTGACTGGCTGGTGCCTAAGAATGACAGCAACCATGCTCCTGTGGCTGTCATGCCATTGAGAATGGGTTTCTAGGTTCCAACAAGAGGTCATATGCTCTCTTTTACATCAATAACTGTTGAGATATAAAAATGACCAATTAATCAGAGATAGGAGAAGATAGATTCCACACCACATAAAGAGGACCAAAGAGTCAAAGAATGGAAGCTAAAAAGTCAAGAACTTTTCTCAATCATAGGGAAAGAGAGAGAAGGAGGGAGGGAGTTTGAAAGGGAAAGAAATTTCTCAGTGAGAAGAAAAAAAATCAAAACCATTACCATTGAAAAGATTCTGATTTTATGGGAGAAGGCAATCTCATCTTTCTTCCATGAAGCAGCTGATGGGTTTGACACAGCAATCTTGTGGGTAGTAATCCAACACCTAACCTACAAGGCCACCAGAGTTCCTGGAGAGGATCTCTAAATTTAGACTTTAGACTATGAGACTGCGAGAAAATAAATTTCTACTCCCTGTACTCACCCACGTGCAGTATTTTTTTTCACTGACCAAACAAAGTAGTCTCTGACAGCAGTTTGGAGTAACATTTACTATGATTTCACACTGTATTCGACTATAAAATAGTACCTTGCTTTCAGTTTTTCCAACATCCGTATCCACTGGATGCCCATGAGGCGTCATCTCTTTTTCCTGACTAGTTTACATACACAGGCTGGTGTACCTTTCCACCTCTAGTATGTGTGGGTGTGCATTCCATCTCTATTCATTGGCTAAATTAATGAAGCATCAATTTTCAGTAGCTCCATTAAGAGGAAGATGAAGCTTTCTACTCCCATAAAGAGTTACAGACTTGGAAATTCACAAGGGCAGTTCTGTCCTGTCTTATACAGTCGCTATGAGTCAGAATTGACTGGATAGTGGTGAGTTTGGTGGACTACTTTTTGTTTTGTTTTCAAAATTTATATTAAGAGATACAAAATACAGAGAAAAAATAGGACGATGTAATTATCTTCAAATTCATATTAAGCACAGGAAAAATAAGATTGTATAACAATATTTTAGAGCACAAAAGAACCTGAAATTCTAATATAATTCAAGGAAGAGATTTATTAAGTCTTAAATAAAACAAACAAACTCATTATCCAGTTGAGAGAAACCATAATTATGTCCAGAATGTATGGTCCAGTCAGCCATGCACTATCACAACTTCATAATTTGGAGCAGATCCATACATTACAGCTGGGACAACTCAAGCAGGAATGGAGCCACGACTGGGACACGCATGTTAGAGAGAAGAGTTTACAAGATTGGACCAGAGACTTCCAAACAGGATAGTCAGGGCATGACTGACAGGGCTTCATTCATGGCTATCAGACCCCTTGTACCACCTCCAGTAAGGTGCTCTACACAAGAGACACATCCAGGACACTCCCTGGACTGACTGCCAAGGTAGAAGAGGTAATCCACTTTCTTCTTTTTTTTTTAAATCATTTTATTGGGGGCTCGTATAGCTCTTATCACAATCCATACATACATCCATTGTGTCAAGCACATTTGTACATATGTTACTGTCATCATTTTCAAAATATTTTCTTTCTACTTGAGCCCTTGATATAAGATTTTCATTTTCCCCCTCCCTCCCTCATAAACCTTTGATAATTTATAAATTAGTATTATTTTTTCATGTCTTACACAGTCTGATTTCTCCCTTCATCCACTTTTC